GAACAACCACCAAAAAACCCCAACAAAACGTATAAAAAATGCTTCTCTGCAGAGAAAGACGCCACGGAGCAACCCCTGCCCTGCCACCCCCCGCGGCCTCTCCGCATCATCCCGTTCGCAGGAATACACAGCGCGAGGGCATCGGCGGCTTAGTTTGGTGATTTAAGACAAAACGCCCCTTTTCCAACCAGGGCGCGTGTATTGGAATTAAGAAAAAATAATACACTATGATAGCATCATTAAATAAATCTTAATACATTTTTTTTTTTAAGAGCTTAAAATTATATCGTAAGCATTAAAGCATAAGGTACTTATCTTGGCATAAGCAGAGCACGGTGCGTGTTAGTGGAGAGGGGAAGCGGGCGCCGCGCCGGGGGGTGGTTTTGGGGCATTTCCAGGGGATTTGGAAGCACAAGCTCCACCTGCGCTTAAAAATCACCCCGGTGCCAGAAAAACCTCCCCGGCGGGGACTCGTACCGATTTCCCCGGCCCCCCCCGATGGCGATAATGCCCCAAACGGGAGCGGGGCAACCGGCCCCGGATGGGCGACGTCTTGGGATATGGGGATATCTTGGGATATCCCCTTCCCCCTCCTCCCAGCTCATGCCGGATCCCCCAAATTTTACTCAAAAGCAAAGGGCGAGCCCCCCAAATGCGGGGAAAAACGGCGGGCAAAGCTCCCACCAGCTTCCCCCCCGTCTGATTTCCCGGCACGTCTTTAGGTTTGTGTTTTCCAAGGCGTTAAGTGCTCCTGGGGCATCTGCGGCCGCAGGGCCAAGGAGGGAGCCAGGGGCTGGGGCCCGCGGCTCCGGCAGCAGCTTCCCAGGACAGTACAGTACAAACACACCCTTCCTCCTCCCCGTCCCATCCCAACCGACATGGAAAAATATAAAAATCCCAAAACTTCTGCAATAATTTAGTTAGAATAGCTCCTCTGGGTTTGTGCAAATAAATTAAAACAACTAAAAAGGAACGTTAAAACACTTAATTCCAGACCGGCAGGCGTTACAACCAGCCCGTGTCGCCTCCGCGGGGTTCGGCCAGGAAGACATCACAGCGAATGAGATTTTTCTTTTTCTTCTTGTTTGTTTGTGTGTGTGTGTTTTCTCTCTAAGGTCCCTCAGCTGGGCAGGTCCTCCGTCCCCGAGCGAGGACATCCCGCGGGCTGGGCTCCAGAAAACAGCGGGTTTCGGACAAGAGACGTCACAAGCACAAAGTGCACAATATTTCTGGTATTTACAGAGACACAGCAGTCCTTCAAGTTTCAAGTTTCGTCAAAAGGAGGAGAAAATAAAACAAAACGAAACAAAAAAAAGCCAACCGACAAAAAAACCAACCCAAACCGACAAATTGAAGCGACAACAAAGGAGTTACCGGTACGGAAAAAAAACACCAAAAAAAAGGGAAAAAAACTGAAGTTACGACACAGCTGCATCGCTCCCAAGACGACAGGTAACACGTCCACAGGCGGGGCTGGGGCGGGAGTATGTACATCAGCGACGGCGAGGCCGGGGAGAGGCTCCCGGCGCTCGCCCGGCACGGGGGGGTCACCAGTCCGCGTCCTCCTCGATGTAGTAGTCGGGGGCCGTACCGTCAAAGAGGCCGGGGTCGAGGGATTTGCGCTGCTTCCCCCGGGCGAACACCCTGGAGATGGAGCCGAAGCCCATCTTCTCTTTCTTCTTTTTCCGTTTTTGGTCTTCCAGGTCTTCTAGAGACTGCGGGGGGGGAGAGGACATGAGCTTGGCCACTGAGCTTTTCATTCACACCCGCCCCGCCCCAGCCCCACACCGGCGACGATGGACCACAGGGCCCAGGTCCTGAAAACTATTCGGGTCCAGGTCCAAAGCAATGCTGAAGAGTTTTGGCTTCTTATTTCAACCAGCCCAGGATTTCAGCTCCAGGTATGTAAGGATGGTCAGAACAAGGGCCTGTCCACGGCTTGCTCGAATACGCCGCCGTTTTAGGGTCAAATACAGAAGAATAACCTGATCGAGGCTGCTGCGCCTTACAAAAATCAAGACCACGATGAGCCCCGAGCACAGCAACCACCTATGGCACTACCTGGATTTTGGGACAAATCATGGCAATCTGAGACACCCAGACTTAGAATTCAGGATGGCTTCTGTTCTTTTTTTCCCCAAAACCCCAATCAGTGCCTCTGAGCCCCCTCCAACAGAAGAATAACCTGATCGAGGCTGCTGCGCCTTACAAAAATCAAGACCACGATGAGCCCCGAGCACAGCAACCACCTATGGCACTACCTGGATTTTGGGACAAATCATGGCAATCTGAGACACCCAGACTTAGAATTCAGGATGGCTTCTGTTCTTTTTTTCCCCAAAACCCCAATCAGTGCCTCTGAGCCCCCTCCAATCACTCGCTAGCACAGGACCAGGTCTCACGCGCAGGATTTAAACAGGGCTTTGTGCTCTACCTGTACGATTGGGTTGTGCAAGTTCTTCTGTACCGGTCCAGGACTGTCCCCCTGCGGCAGAAGCAGACGGATCCAATTGCATCATCGAATCATAGAATCGTTCAGGTTGGAAAAGAGCTTTAAGATCACCCAGTCCAACCAGTAACCCAACACTGCCAAGTCCACCACTAAACCGATTCAGGGGAGAGTAGCAATTTCGTGTTTCCTGCCTTGCTGGCTGGATTATTTTTTAATGAAAGTAAAAACTAGGAATCACTAAGGTTGGACAGGATCTCTAAGACCATCAGCCCGACCATCAGCCCAACACCCCCATGCCCACTAAACCATGTCCCCAAGTGCCACCTCTGCCCGTTTCTTGAACCCCTCCAGGGATGGGGACTCCCCCACCTCTCTGGGCAGCCTGTTCCAATGCTTGGC